TCTTATTTTATTTTCAATTCATCTCTTTCATTTTCATTTCATCTCATTCGACTTTACTTTTTATTTCACTCCACTTTATTTTATTTTATCTTCGACGAGTCAGGGTTCCCAGACCCACTTGTTGGGACGTCTTACATGTGTGCGTGTTTGCAGAAAGGAGAAACAGGTCAAGGGAGACAATTCCAAATCAGCCATAGGCCAAGGAGCTTTCGAACGTGATCTAAGAGGGCACCCACACGAGCCAGCCTGAGCGTGTCACGGACCCACGCGAGGTAAGTCCCGCCTCGCGACCCTAATTCCTCTCTCACCGGTTGGTATTCCTACCCACGTCTTCTTTATGTGGTTCCCGAGAGAGCGATCTCAGGTCCCAAATCTATCTCAAACCCGGAACTACGCCAGCAGGTCCACCCGACCAGGAGGGCGAGATCGAGGCAGCTAACCGCCTGGGCGTTGCATAATGGACTGACCAGAGGTCTGTCGATAATCCCAAGGGATCGCGGCTTATTGGCTTCTAGGTTTGGGCAGGTTAGGCTTAGAGTCGGTTATGGAGTAATCATCATAGTCACCTTGAGTGACTGACATGATGATTGCTTTTGGTGGGGTTCTAGAATCTAGACTTAGGTAAGATCTAGACTCAACGACTTAAGCCTGACCTAGCCTAACTCTAAGGGTAAGTCTAGTCTGGCTCTAGAGGCAACTCTAAGCTTAGTCCTATGCCAGAACCTAGAATGAGATCTAGACTAGATAGGTACAAATCTCCGCTCGAACCAAGAGTGGGTCTAGGTTCGAACTTGGGTGTGAGCCTGGTTCGGATCTAGACTGAGCTGGGTGCAAGCTTAGGCTTAGACTTAGAGGGTTGTGATAATCAGATCAAGTATGGACCCGGACTGGATCAAAGTTGAGCTAGGCACAAGCCCTTGGCTCGGACCAAAATGGGACCTATTTTCAAACCAAGGTGTGAACCTGGTTCTGACCTGGGCTAGGCTAGGTATAAGCCTGAACTTGGACCTAGAGAATTTTGATGATCAGATCAGGTATGGACCCAGGTTGGATCAAAGATGAGCTAAGAACGAGCCTTTGGCTCGGACCGAGAGGGGGCGTAAGTTTGGACCAACGCAAAACCTGGTTCGGACCTAGGCTAAGCTGGGTATACGCCTGGACTTAGACCCAAAGGGTTCATCTCTGACCAAAAGCAGGTCTAGACAGAGATCTAAAATTAACCAACAGAACTAAGCAAGCACAACACTCGAAAAAGTTTGACCTAGATTATAAGTAGGCTTGGCTTGAGAGTGGGTTCCTAACTACTGAAATGCGGTAAGGTTGATATAGGTCCCCACATAGGTCTTGGCCTCTTGTTATAGGATTTTCACCAGATCCTACTATACATGGAGTTTCTTTGAGACAAAGGATTACGGAGGGGCGCTCACAGTTAAAGTTACGCGCATCCCAACAGCCTCGACTCTCAAAGCTAGGTTACCCTCACTCATTAACATGGATTTTAGGGGTTTTCGAAATATTTGTTTATTGGTTTTCCAAGCATTCTTGGACCGGTGTGTGGTGGAGTGTCTAAAGAAGTACACAACAAAAAATAATTGTCAAGCACACAATGCAATGAAGAAATAAAGCGAGCACTTGGCACTAGTCGTGCCTAACGATGCGCACTTCGAGGCGAAGCTTGCTCGAAGCACGGTATAGATGGAGGGGTAAGCAACCCCTAAGAAGGTACAATCAAAATAGTGAGACCAAGCACAGTCCATGCTAAGCCGAGCGTGGCCCGAGTCGAGGGTGACTTGAATGGGACACGGTTTAAGGAGGGTGCAAGCAACCCTCAATCTATATATATATATATCTATTTTTATTTGAAATTTTTTTTTTAACTTTGATGAAATTCAGTTAAACTAAGCATGGTGAAAGCAGGGAAAACATGATCTAAATCAAAATTAGCACATTAAAATAAAATAAAAAATCTAGGAACATAAAATACCTATTTGAAGCAAAAAAAGTTTTTATTTTTTTTTAAAAAAAATTATTTTAAGCCAAATATTGGTGAATAGAAAGCCAACAACCTCTGGAAGAGGCCTGTGGGGTCCCAAGAAATTTTTGATAGCACTGCAACTAGGCAACACATGTGGTGTCATCTGGGCGGCACTACTGGTGTCGCCCTTACAAGCTGGACGACACTGCTAATATTGCCCAAAAAATTTATTATTCTTATTATTTTTAACTTTGATGAGATAAGGTTACAATGAACTTCCAGAAGCAGGGAAAATAATATTTCTGATGAAAAAATTAAAATAAAGTAAAAATAGAAAAGTGCAAATAAAATAGACCTATATTAAGAAAATATTTTTTGTATTTTTAAAAATTTTATTTTTTTCTAAAATTTTTTGATCAGTGACAAAAATGTCCTTGGAATAGGTTTGTGGGGTCTCAAAAATTTTCTAGGACCTTTGAATCTGGGCGGCACAGTGTGTGTCGCTTGGGAGACTGGTGTGTCGCCTAAACCTGGGCGACCCAGGTAGTGTCACCCAAGACAGACAGGGTTTCGCAGCTGCAAAAACCCTGGGTCCTAGTCACAGCCAAATTTGGGACTTTTTTTTTTACTGAAAGCAGTAAAAACAATGAATAAAACTCATGTTTCAGAGCTCGAATCAAGCTCGAAACGCTCCACGATGGGCGCCAAATTGTTTACAATGAAAATCAAACAGATCTTCTGACGAAGATCTTGTGGATTTTGACACCTTAAACTGATAAAAATAATGTGATAGAGAAAGTGGGACAAATAGAATTCAGATCTAATGCCAGATTTGTTCAGAAACGAGCAGATCCACTCTCAGATTTGTAGCAGAGCCAGCATGATCCAAAACATTAAAACACGAGTTCAAAGCAGCAAACTAACCAAAATTAATCAAAATGAAATCAAAATAGTGAGAAGAAGAAAGACAGGTTAATATAACAATACCAAATCGTGCCGGATGGCCTGGGACTTCCGAGCCTTCGAGGGCTCTCCCGTATCAGAACCGGCGTCCTCTTTGCCTCTCTGATTCAAAAGTTGACCAAAAGATCTCTGATTTAAAAGGGTTGTTGTGCCCTAGAGATGATTGAAGAACTAGGGTTCCTAGGTTAGAGCTTTAATGGTTTAGGGTTTTCAGACTTAGGGTTCAAAGTTAGGGTTTTTCTAAGCTAACTCTTTTCTCTCCCCTTAGAAGAAGCCCCCACAAATAGCCAAGAATTTTCATTTTTATAGATTGGGAATCAAATCAAAGGGAAAATTTTCCATCAACAACCAATTGCCAACCCTGGACTACCTTTCTAGGTCCTGGGCTTGGGTAACCCTAGGTGTCACCCAACCAAAATTGGTCAAATTTGGGAAATTTGACCTAAAACAGTAGGGGGGGCCTCTGGCATGCGAAAACTGTCGTTTCTGCACTGTCAGAGTTGGGCGACACACTGTGTGTCGCCCAAGTCAAGATTGCTCGAAACAGAAAATTTCCAGTACAGGGCGGATGCTGGGGTTGTCAAGATGTTGCCTGCCAAAAATCATCCAATTTGGGTGTGTCTAGGCTGGGCTACACAAGTGTGTTGCCCAGACTAGATCTGCCTAAAATGGCAGATTCCAGCTCAACACTGATCTTTGGGTTGTTCTGCCAAAAAATGAAGATTTCGTGTCAAATTGGGTTGGGCGACACACAGTGTGTCACCCAGTCTAGTGGGCGGCACAAGGCAGTCGGCCAATTTGAGTTGGGCGACACAAGGTGTGTCTCCCAAGCTAAAATTGACCGAAATTGAAAAGTTTCAGCTCAGGTGTGTAGCTCAGGCTGTTGTGAAGCCCCTAGAGAAAATTTGTATCAAAAAGAGTTATTTTACTTTTTTTGGTAATTTGTTTGGTAAAATAGGGCGTCTGTAGGATTTCGGGTCAAAACAGGGCATCTACAGGGTTTTGTGTAGGCAGAATGGTTCTGGGTCACGGGGTAGGCAATGTGGACTATGGATTTGGGTTTACTAGAACAGTGTGGTCTTAAGGGTTCAAAAAACCACAGAATTTGCGATATTTAGAATGGGGTGTCTACACATCTCGAGATGCGAAGATCAATGCCTCCATGATTGGGGACTGGTTCGGTGAGGCCACATTGCAACAGTGTACGACCTACCTGTTTGAGGTAATTTGGGCTCAAAATGTTTTTGGGAGGTCCAATTTAGCCCAAGATTTGTCCTATACGGTTTTTCGATATTCTGGATGCAACGGCGGTGGTCTGGTACTGTTTGAAGCCCCTAGCATAAGGTTGTAGTTGTAATGTCTCTTTTCTTGACATTATAATGCTTTTTCCAAGGTTGCCTAGTGTTAGGCTTATTGTGTAGTGTTCTCTTAGTCTGGTGGTGTCTTGGGTACCCTCAAGACCAGGTCGTCACTAGCTCTCTCTTTATTTGCACCAGGTATGTAGATACATCAAAAGTGACGTGCAATAGGTGGATGCTAGTTGATTTTAAGATCTCTACCACTTTAAACAAATATCACTATGTTATGAAGAAATCTTTAATGAACGGTTACAACTGGCTCATTCCAGGCCTCCAAGTTTTCCAACTCCCATGATCGATCAAACATGGGTTCCCAGACTTCCTAGAATTCCAAGTAGATTATCAAACACAGTCTTTATTGTTTCTAGACAGCACAATATCCAATTTTAGGTTTCCAGAAAACCCAATTTCCAAAGAACTTCCAGTTTCCAATTATCAAACAGGCTCATATAAGAGTTTGTTTTGATGCACAAATATCCTCAAATTGATCATCTCGACATCAAGATGCATGGACATGAGAAAAAAATAGAATTCAAGTTTTGGAAAAAGGGCATCCTTCAATGCATTTTTGGACCGTCAATTTTCTAGATTTGCAAGTTGTCAGAGATCTACTCGATTTACACTATTGTTGAAGCTTTAAATTTTATAATTAAAGATAAAAATATAATTTAAGGCTATCAAAAAGATTTTCAGTATTGAAACAACATTTCTGAACACTATTTGAAGATGCACTTCACTTTGATTGTTTAGAACTTCGGCTCTATACAAACCTCATCCTTCATTGTGTTTCTAGTTTCCCCACTTCTTCATACATACATAAATATTTGTTTTGGTGATTCCTTGGTCGAAGGCAAGACTGCTCACTCCAAATATTTGATAATCAATCACAAAGGGCTGCAAAAACTCCACTATGTGTATCCGCATTATCTGTTCCATCACCCATTACTTTGTTTTTTCTCTTGTTTTTTTTAAAACAATTATGACTCATTAGTGTTTTCACGCATACCTAGGAAGGTATGGTAAAGACAGAGCTGGGATTATTGGTACGAGGACATCCAATTGCTTATGACAATTTACAAATTTGTATGCATGTCTTCAATTTTTAAGCAGGTCTAAATTTCGTAATTTGGAGGAATTGGTGTAAAGATTCATTTACTCCTCATTCGAACGTTCAGTCTGCATTCTAAATCCCTAACAATTTATTTAAAAGTCGCATAAGTCACCTCTTTGGTTCTTTATTATTTCTGAATGCCCCCTCAAAATAAATGCTCAACTGAAATCGCGACGCGGCTACGATCTAGCCTGTGCTGCGAGGACTCTAGAGAGAGAAAGAAGATAGACAAAGAGGACAATGATGTGTGAGAGAGAGAAAGAAGATAGACAAAGAGGACAATGATGTGAGAGAGAGGAGGCATGTGATCGCCTCTCCCAAACCCGGAGCATAAAGTCACCGCACCGCGTGGTTTTCATTAGGCCGGCCCACCCCGAACTATGCATTCTCTATATGCAAAAACATAGAGAGAGAAAAGCAGAGAGAGGAAGAAGAAATGGAGATTGGACCCATCACCCCTGTACCAACCTGGAAGCTCTACAGAAACCCCTTTTATCATCACCATCACAAACAAAAACACCAACGAACTCCATTACCCCAAAATCTCCACCTCAAATCCATGGGTTTCACCTCGTCTCTTCAAGCAGAGCTTGATCTAGCGAAAACCATGATCGGGCAACTAAAAGCCTCCGTGCTCTCAACCCAAGCCCAACTTGAATCGGAGCGGAAGGTCCGACAAAGGGCTGAGTTAGCGAACAGGAAGCTTCTGGGCGACCTAAGAGAAGCGCGTGCTGCCATAACTGAGGGCCTAAAAAATATAGAGAGAGAACGAGCTGATCTCGGGAAGGAGCAGGCCAAAGTGGAGAAGATGAAGAGAGAGGTTGAAGAGGAGAAGAGAATGCTGAGAGTGGCCGGGGCATGGAGAGAGGAGAGAGTGAAGATGAGGCTCAAAGAGGGACATTTTCTCGAGGAGAGGCTTGTCGACCTTAGGCCACAGGGCTCAACATGGGCCTCATGTACTGGAGTGAGGAGTGGGGGGGATGTCGAAAATCCTCATATAAGGAGAGGGATGAAGGGTTTTGTGGAGTTTACAAGGGCTGTGAGGCAGGGGGCACAAAGGAAGAGAGGGGTGGGGATGAGAGGGAAGAGAGAGAGAGAGAAGCTTAGGCAGATCCTTAACCATAAGAGGCCTATTGGTTTGTTTGGGATTGATGGGATTTAGTTGTTTGTTAAGAGCTTAATTATTGGAAGATGGTGTTGTATAATGCATTTTGGTGGATTTTTATTTGAAGTAAATGGTGTGTATAATGAAATCTTGGGAATGTATTGCATGCTCGAGGAAAAAAATGTGAGGGTGGTTTCTTGCCCTATTTTGTTGGTTGATTGGATAATGCGATGTCTGTCTTCACCCATTTTTCCATTCTATGAAGGGTGCAGGTGGCATACGGATGCATCGGTAGCGTTAGAGGTAAGGTGCACCTTCAAATTAAATCATGGTATATAAATTTGATGTAAAAGTTTCAAAATCTATTTTTATATCTAATTATAAAATTTTAAATTTAAAAAATAGTTAAAATCAAGTAGATCTATAAACATACGAAAATCTTGAAAATAGACCGTACATATAATATGTTGTAAGAGGGCACTATTTTTTGAGACTTAAAATCTTTTTATTTTTCAGGGTTATACATCTCGATGTCTAGATGATCAATCAAAGGGTTTTCAACATTAAAACTACCTTTTCCAATGGATTTTTGAGGTGCATCCATAGTTCTACATTATAAGGTTGCATCATTCTATAAACTTTTTCCTTCCATGAAACATGTAAAGTCTTCTTTAGAGTCAAAAGAAAATTACGAAACACCTCAAGACTACACTTTCTATGCAACTTACCCTCAACTTAACTATTTTTCTCAATTTCTTCCCCAAAATACTCTTTCTATGCAAATACCCCAAACCAAAGAAAATAAAAAAATACTTAAACTACCCCCCTTTCTTTTACCTTACCCACGCTTCTCTTCTCTTTCCCACCAAAATAGGGGCTCCCCCTTTCTTTTACCTTACCCACGCTTCTCTTCTCTTTCCCACCAAAATAGGGGCTATGGCACTGTGTAAAGTGCGGTCCGATAGTAGGGCTTTGGCACTGTATAAAGTGCGGTCCGACAGTTGCAAAGGGTGGTACGACAATAGATGTTACTGGATTCTAGGGCTCTGGTACTATGTAAAGGGCGGCTCGACAGTCTTTGACAGTAGATGCTACTCGATTCCAGGTTTTGATACTATGTAAAGGCCGGTCCAACAGTAATTAGTTTAAGTCTGATAGTTGTCTTAGGGCGATCCGACACTTGTGCGCGCCGGTAATGTGATGGTGAGCTCTAACAATGTGCTACTGGGGTCCAAAAGTGAACGTCAAATCTGGCCAAAATGATTTTTTAGTAAGAAAGAGCATTTCCATCTAAAAAGAACTTTTTCTCCTTGAGGAGTATTTCCATAGAAAGTTTGTTTTGGAGAACAAGTGAAAAAAAATTAAGTTGGTAGCTAGATTCAATCGTCTTGGGAGAAGGGCAACATTCTTTGACTAATCTACATAACCAAAGGGAACTTCGCTAAGAATAGTGGATGAGCTATATTATAGAATGGGAAAAGTTTATATAGAGCGGAGGCTCTAAACATTCAAATTAGAGCCTACCTCAAAATTTTATTAGAAGAGGTTGTTTTGATGCCTAAATATCTTCAAATTGATTATCTTGACATCAAGATGCATGGACATGAGAAAAAAATGGATTTCAAGTTTTGAAAATAGTTGATTTTATAACACATTTTTAGACCGTCAATTTACAAGATTTTCAAGTTTTCATAGATCTATCGATTTACATTATGTTTTATGCTTTAAACATTATAAATAAAGATGAAAATATATTTTAAGGTTATCACAAATATTTATAATATTGAAACCACATTTTTCAACACTATAGGCTCTATACAAACCACACCCTTTCATGTAGCCTCCAATCAACTATATTTCTTCTGAAAAATAGTTTCTTTGCCAAGTTTGTTAGAGATATATTTTTTCAAAAAATATATATTTCTTTTGAAAAATATATTTCTTCGAAAAACGGTCCACTTTCTCTAACTTTGAACCATCCGTTGTACCCCCACAATAAACATCGCCCTAAAGTTCTCTTTGTAAGAAACAACATATCCAAAGTCCAGATCAAAAAACCTCACGAGGGTTAAAAATCGCCATTCACAATATTTTTGACCCAAAAATGAATAACAGATTGTCATTTTTAATAATATGACACCCTCGAATATTTAGTAAACAATATCAGATGGTGTTACAATGATGCTAACTTTTAAGTTTAAAGGTTTTTATCCTTTTTGTTATTGTTCTTGGGAGTTTCAGGTCCATTGGGTTCTATTTTTTTGGGGGTTCCTTTGTAATTTTGAGCTCTATTATGCGCTCCACAGGATAGTTTTCGTTATACCTTAGCCATGTAGCATCTTATTTGGCTGAGTTTTTGGGGCTATCGTGGGGGTATCTTGGATTAAATATTAGACTCTATTTAGAGTCAATTTGTGTCCATTTTGACTTCCTTTGATCCCGCTCCTTTTTTAGCCGTCCGATTATGAAGTCGGGTCGTAACTAATCCTAGAGGTCACAGATTTATTTGTGCGGTCCACTATCCCTCAAAGTGCCCTCGATTTTGGCCTAATATATGTTGGGTGCCCTTCTGCCACTCTTGGTGTTTTTAATAATTTTTTGGCATGTATATTAATGGATTCCTATCGCGTACGACAACTTCTTATATTTGCAATTTATGGGTTGGTTTTAATATAGAACTCTCACATATGTTGCACACTAGGGACTTTGGGAAGAAGTTATGATCGATATAGTTTGATGTTGGCCTTTCTATATGGGCTTTGGTCTACTATGGTGGCAGGTTTGCATAATTTTGTACTTTTGGAGCTGAAGAAGTTTGAAGGGAAAATTACCAAAAAACTTTCAAAACTACACTTTTTATGCAACTTACTTTAACTTAATTTTTTTTCTCACTTTTTCTTCAAAATATACTTTTTATGCAAATACCCCTCCAATCTAAAAAAAATGCCTAAACCACCCTCCCTTACTTTTATCTTACCCACGCCTCTCTCTCCTCTATCCCACCAAAATAGGGGCTCCGGCACTGTGTAAGTACGGTTCAGCAATAGGGCATCAGCATTGTGTAAGTCTCCAATACTATGTAAAGTGTGATATGGTAGTAGGGCTCCGGCGCTGTGTAAAGTGCAGTCCGACAATTGCAAGGGCGGTCCTGCAGTAGAAGTTACTGGATTCCAGGGCTTCATCACTATGTAAAGGGCAGCCCGACACTCAATTTCGGTCTGGTAGTTGTTTTAGGGCGGTCCTGTACTTGTGCGCGCCGGCAATGTGATGGCGGGCTTCGGCAATCCGCTATTGGGTCCAAAGTTCAACATCAAATCTGGCCAAAATGATTTTTGTGTACGGGAAGGACATTTTCGTATAAAAAAAATGAACTTTTTTCCTTGGGGGGTATTTGCATAGAAAGTTTGTTTTGGAGAAAAAAGTGAGAGAAAAAATTAGATTGCGGGTAAGTTGCATATAAAGTGTGGTCTTGGAAGTTTTTTATAATTTTCCTATGTTTCAAGGCTACTTCTACTAGATTGGGGTGTTCTCATGTTGCACATTTAACTGACTCTTATATGGGGTTGGTACGAGGGTCAGGGGCCTAAATCAGCTAGACTTGGTACTCTCTGCACTTTGAACTGCCTTTCTTCAATGACACTGACAAGAATGTCAAGGGCAATAATCTAGTAGATTTGGGTCCTCTCGTGGCCCATTTTTAACTGGGTTTTCCATGGGATCAGCATGAGTGTCGAGGGCATAAATGTGCTTGACTCAGGTGATCTTCAGGCCTACTTTGAACTAGAATTCTTATGCGGGATCAACAAGAGTGTTAATGGCCTAAATCTACTGGATTTGGATTATATCGAGGCAAACTTTGAGCTATTGTTAGTTTGTGGGACTGACGAGTGTCAGGGCCTATAATCTGTTGGATTCCGACACTCTCGAGAAACACTTTGAACTGGCTTTTGAAAATCAAGAATCGGTGAAAGGGGATGCTACTGCTAACACGATTAATGCCTTTGAAAGGGGTAATAGATGAGAGAGATTAATTGGATGGAGAGAGGACCGAGTTTGTAGAATAGGGGTGGAGACAAGGGAAGAAGAGAGAGACTGATGCAGAAGAAAAAACAACGAGAGAGCAGTGGTAGAGAGTAATCAAGGAGAGGGCTAGAGGGGTAGGAGAGAGAGAGAAAGGAAGAGAGAAAGGAAGAAGAGGGAAAAGTGTGATGTGTGAGAGAGAGAGAGATGTGGGCGGCAATGGAGATTGGTGATAGCACTCCCAATGCCCTTTCTAGAGAGAAAGGGACAGAGAGGGGGACCTGACAGTAGGAGAGTTGGTCCCTTTCAATTACCGGGGTTAGTGGTTCGGATGTCATTTTTAGGTTGTGGTTAGGCTCAGTTGACTCGGCCTAGACCGGGTTTTCCAACGAGCCTAAGACTATTCATTTTGCGCTTCCGGTTTCCCATAAAAGCGTTGGTATGTGTAGGTGGCCATGAGGCCTCACATGTGCCATATTTTTCTCTCTTAATGTTTATCCTATAATTATAAGGCTTCTTAGTGAAAGAAAATATTCTCTTATCCAACAGGTAAAAGATAACTACCCGTCTCACAGAAAAAGAGGTCCACCTTCTCCGAGATTCCAGAAAGAAAGCCGTACTTTAGAGAACAGTCTCTTTCCATCCCTTTATAACTAGGGTTTCAAGACTATGGAGAGGCACATAGAGAAAACATAGAGCTCTCAATTGTTCAGGTAAAATCCTGATCTCGCGATTCACAGCCTTACAACATTGTCTTCGATTCCTAGGACGTTGGTGGGTTCATATCTTCCCCTCAAAAGTTTCACATTGGTATCAGAGTAAGGCTGCGGCTCTTCGATTCGTGGATAAACCCATTTTCGAGTTTTCTCCTCCATCATCGGCTCATCTCTATAAAATACCAGCGAGGTTCCTGCTTTTCGATCCTTATATAAAACCATCATCTAGTTTTCTCTTCCATCATCGACACATCGATTATTCGGTTCCTGTGAGTTTGTATTTTATTTATTTTTTGTCATGCTTCATCTTATTTGACAAGGAAACAAAAACGAACAATATCTCTCTTAAAATTTCTTTTCCTTCAATATCAATTCTTTATTTACTATGTTGAATTTTCTCATATCTGACATTGTTGATTTCATCATCCAATCCCATTCAGTTCACT